TCCCTAGTAAAGCAGATAGCAGAAGAGAGCTTTCCTTGGGCTGCTTTTGTGTAGATCCTAATGTATTTAGGGTAGCATGAAACACCCACCCTGGTCTTGAGACAACAGCCAAGCACTGCTCTGTTCACCACTTTCAAAGCGGACCTGCTCCTAGGCGTGCCCAGAAACAGAGTGTCACGCAGATGAGAAGCTTTGCTGACTGAGACTGATGGGGAGGTACTTCCCAAGTGAGGTGGCAGATGGGGAAAGGGCCACTTCCAAAATCCCTCCCCCATCATGCTCCAAATGCTGGGTACTTGGCATCCTTTCATAAATCCAGCCTCCAGGTGGACATTGCTTCCATAAGGAGCTTAAAATGTATTGCCTTTAATGTGACATAACGAAAGAGTAAACCTGCTTTATGATAATGTATTTTGTATATACTGATACATAAGGAAATGAAAATTCTGCTGGGTTTGTTTCATGTTTTATTAGTATTACAAACCTTGTCTTGCTTCCACACTGAGGCACCTTATTACAGGTCTCTGTTCCTCCCTTCTGAAATTCTGTAACTAATAGGAAGCTGTTGGCTTTCCAAATCCAGGCAGGCTGTGACTGTTTGCTGCAGTTGGCAGAATACAGTGTGACCACAAACCCATAAGGATTAATAAGGTAAAAAAGCACAGGCTTCTCGTCTGTCATTTGTGCTTCTTAATGAGAAGAGTGCTATTGAGAAAAAGAAGCAGCAAATGACAGCAGTCACAACCTGAAATGGCACTTGAACTCTATTGTATTTTGTAATAATTTCAAGGTGTGTGTTACAGTAAATGTTTTCTTAGCTTATGACAAATTTTGCTTTTTATCCTGTGTCTGCTGGGTTGTTTAGTTAGTTACCTCCCAGATATGTTTCTTCTTCCAGTGTTTTTCTCTTGCCTGCTGAAAACATGTCAAGCTGATTTAAAATTCTGTGTGTATTATAATGAAAACCGTATGTCTTAGATTAAGGGTGACTGTGCACAAGCTTTCAGCTGAATCAGGTTTAGCATGTGATTTCATGCATTTGCATATATGGTGTGAACGCTTGCCTGCACAGTTACTTGCTGTGCCCCGGCCAGCCTTTCTCCTCCATGTGTATGTGAACCAGATTTAGACGTGTTAGAGAGGCCTCTGAAAGCCCTTTGTTAAACTTCTGCCACCAGCATGACAGGAGGGCTGGGATGTTTTCCCAGTCTCTGATGGAGTTCTCTGCCTTTTTTGTGTACTGCTAAGTCATCCCTGCCAAAGATGACATTTTCCAGCTCCTAAAAATACTTCTGACCAGCCTATCCATTTCCCTTCAAGCAGACCAAATAGCACTGCCAGGTACGTTTAAAATCTCCTGAGGTGACACTACATGCTTGATTATAAAAGATACTTGTCCGTAGGTGCATTTACACTTGCATTTACCATCAATGCAAATTGAGTATCAAGTTATACAACTCTCAGTGTATTATTTGAACCTCCATGAGGTTGGTGTAGCAAAGCAGCCTCCTTCCATCTCTCCTCCAAAGCGCCTTTTTGTTTGAACAGTAAGTTCCCCAAATCGTCCCCTTCTGCTCCATGAACATGTTCCCCCTGACAAAGGTCATTTCACGCTGAGAAAAGAAAATGTCTGAGAGCCATTTTTAAGGTGTTAGAACAGCCCAAACTCTGTATAGAAGCACAAAAAATAATTAGGTCAGGCTGATTTCTTCTTAAAAAAGCAGAAAAAAACCCAACTTGCAATGCTCTTTGTTCCAACAGCCGCTTGTGGCTGCTGTACAAATCCATGAATTAAAAACAATTAAGAAAAACACGAGCCCAGATCATAGTGATATGCAGAATATACATGATGGCTCTCAGCCAATAGCGGTAATTAGTTTGTAGTGACTGTGTGTTTAGAGAAGAGCTGGATTGATTGTGGTTTCACAGCATACACAAGTCACATTTGGTATTCATTTTGAGATCTGCAGTGCTTATAATTTGCATTAATGTAGTTCACATTACTACCAAAACTATAGTATTTCGATGAGATCAGAAAACTGCTTAATGAGATAATTTTTAATTATTTGATAACAACCCTTCTTCCAAAGTAAGAAGAGTAAGCAAGCAAAAATCAAGACAAATAATGAGGTTAGATCACAAAGCCAGAACTCTGAATTGAGGGGATCATTTGTAAAATCAAGTTCAGGTCCAAATGTGAAGAAGCAGCATCTGTGTTGCAGTTCTTCCTCAAAGTCTTCTGTCTGGTTTTGAGCTGGAGGTCTCCTCACCCAGCACGTTTGAACAATTTATGGAGGGTCACACTGCAAGTTTTGCTCCACATCCCCTCTGACTGCAGCTTTGCCAGCTGCCCAGGTTACCAGTTGTTCCTGTGAACTGCGAATTCACACTTCTCATCAGAGTTCTGATGGGCATCCTCAGCTTCCACCACACACTCTAGACCCCATGGCAGTGGAGAGGCTGAGCCATGGGCAGAGGTGGTAGCAGTGTTTGTCACCCAAAGATGAGAGCTGTCCACATGGAGGAGAGCTCTGTGTCCTGTTCCCTGGTTCCAGGATTATATCTTCTTTTACCCAGTTACTGTTTGGTGTGAATAAAATATTAAGTCGAAGATCTGAGTCTCATGTACAATAATAGTAAGTCAAATAAGTAATAAGCCAAAGGACAGGGACTGGAACCAAAACCCACTGTCAACTATGGCTTGATGCTGTGAATCGAGTACATTTCCCACTAGGAGACTTCACCCTTGAAATGGGTAATTTTTAAGGGTGTTATCTGAAGAAAGGCCTGAAATGCCAAAGAAAGACTTCATCGCTCCTTTACAGCTTTTCTTATTTTTTTCAGTGCATGTGAGCAGGGTGGTTTTCTTTCCTAGATTGCTTGTGCTGTACAAAAACAATCTTGCATGAACAACCTCATACTAAGTAGAAAAGAAGCCACATTAGTGTTTCCTGGAAATACACTGCTTATGCTGTTAAAGACTGGAACAAGAGATGTAGCTGTTGAGTTAAAGTTTTCAAGATAAATGACACCAAATCTCTTTAAAATACAGGTCCTTTCAATAGTGGGCATTACAACTGAATTCTTTCTACTTTTCCAACTGCTTCTAATGGCTTTGCTGGAATTTTTTACACAGTTAGGCCCTATCTCTTCCCCGGGGTCTCTAAATAAAGCTATCTATGGGGGGAATGTGCCTCTTACTCCTCTAGTTGCTACATCCAAGTGGTGAACATGTATGCATGTAGTGGCCTCTGCTGTGTAACAGGGTGCTTTTCAAGGTGAGGAAGCTCAGCAAATTTAAGTGTTTTACATTTTGAGAACAAGCTGTGTCTGTCAGCACTGTTTTATTTACAGCTCTGTTTCACTGGATGACAGTATACAAAACAGCATCAAAACTGATATATAGAAAGAGGTCATGTTATGGAGTCAGAAGATAAGTAAGCTCTGTGGTTTACATGCTTTGGCAGCTGTGAAACATTGGTGAAGTTGCAAATAGGAAAGACTTACACAGAAAGACTAAATACGTATTAGCTCGTATGCGTCCTGAGTTTTGGGAATCCAGTTCTGCTGCTTGACTGTCCATGTTCCTGTTACAGATACTACTTGGAACTTTTTCTTATTTCTCTCCATATTTTAATCTTACTATTTAGAGAGCAAATGGACAATAAAATGCGCACAAGAAAGTTTGAGCTTTCTTATAGAAGAAGAAGATTAAATGCTAAATTTTAATATTGAGGCCAGATGACTTTGTCTGTAATGGCCAGGAATAGTGGACTGGAATGCCACACTCCAGGCGTGGAGGAGGGGTTATTGTGTGACTCTGTGTAAGTGATGTATTTACTGCCTCTATATACATACATACATACATACATACATACATACATATATATCCATGGTGTGGTATTTTTGTGCTTGCATACTGCCCTGGTAGGCCTAATATACTGACTTTATTCTACCTGTAAAAGCTGTGAATGCAGTGTATGGTCTGCTCACTGTACCACATCATTACCCTTGCACTGTGACTGGGGCTGTGCAGACAGCAGAGTTAAAGGTGGGGCTTCTCTACATCCAAAACGTAGGCGTGATGACTGTGCTGCCCGACTGGAGTAAACACACACTAGTGCCAGCTGCCCTTGCACAGCCAGCTCTTTCTCCCTCCCCTCAATCCTACCCCGAAATTCAGTTGCATCACGTGCAGGATGGGAAATCTGAGTCATCAGCAGGAGGTTCTCCAGCTGACTCCTGTGCTGCAGCCGACAGTGTTAGCTCTGAGCTGTGCTCCCTGACCCTGACCCAGAGTGCAGGGGAGCACATGTCTGTCAGACCCTTGCTGCCCTCCTGGCCTCTGCCTGGGTTGTGCCTGCCCGCACGCCTGCAGCCCTTGTCACAGGGTGGCACGGCTCCCTTCTCCCCCCTCGTGTCAGCTGGAGCTGGGTGACTGTCACAGTGCTGTCAAGGCAGCAAGGAGAGTAAAATGCAGCACAAAGCATGATGCTGTCTGCTGCAAGCTCTTAGCTTGGAGCAGTTGCCCATCAAGCAGTAAAGTGCAGGGGCAGCACCAGATGCTACATGATTTCACTTCTGCTTGTCAGATACCCATTCCAGGCAAGGAGCAATCCTGGAAAGGGTTCCAGTACTTTGTTGGCCATTCTCATCTTGTTCCTCCCATTGCACAGAGCAGTGCACAGCTCCGCTCCAGGGCATGGGCAGGCTGCTGCACTGAGCCCGCTGTGAGGTGGGGGGAAGCCAGCGTGATGGGCTTCCCAACGCCAAATGCTGCACATGCGGCACAAGCTTTTCCATCAGAGCATATTCCTAGGTTGGGTCACTGGCAGGCTGTTGGTGCTGTGACACTGAGTGCCTGGAGCATGGAAGAGTATGTATGAATGAATTTCAAATGAGATGACGCTGAATCCAGTGGCTCAACATGTAGCACCATGGGCAGGAAAGCGTGGAGAAGACAGTCCTTTTAACAGGAAAGTCTCAGATCAGGGCTGAGCAAGAGTTACGGCCAGGTAGGACCACATAATGTTTTTGGGAAACGTCAACCTCCTTCATGGTTAACACTGAATCAGTGAGCTGTTCTGGGCTTTCTGGGCTTACATGTGCAAGCTTTGGCAATCACATTGTCACAGCAACAAAAATAGTCAACAGGCATCCTTGGGGAGCCATCAGCCTGGAGAATGGCATTAGGAGAGATGAGAGGCTTCTGCCTGCGCTGCTGCTAGGCAAGGAGTTCCACCTCTTTGTTAAAACATTTGTAAAACGGAAGTCAGTCACAGTTACCCAGGAGGATGTGTTGCAAGTGATATTTTATGGATACATGCCACCTTCCTTTGCTTAGAGATGTCTACCAAATGGGAGGAAATATTTTTAAGGTCTCTTGGTAACACTGCGCTGCCACACGCAAAGCCAGCTTGAACATCACTAACACACTTGGAACCATATCTAGCAGTGACCCCTTTAATTTATAAAATGTTCTCGAAGATCCTATAAATAGCCTCACACCTAATTTTAAACGTAAGTAATCTCCTGTGCTCATTCTTAAGTCTGTGTGTAGCTGTTATCAGAACTGCGGCCAGAAAGGTGAGTTGGTGCTCGGCAGGCGCAGTTCCTGTCTCAGGTGCAGCACACTCTCAGGAAGCTCAGTGGTGGAGGTGGCTGTTCCCAGGCTCTGCTGACTGGGATGGCAGTGCCAGCTCTGCAGTTCACCCTGGCAGTGCACTGTAATACAGGCAGGTCAGCAAGAGGCAACTGCTAAGCCTCGCTTCCTTGGAATGCTTTCGGTAACCAGGGCTGATTATGACGTCTGCTTAGCCAGAGGTAAGCCTCAGCAAGCGCTCCTGTTGTCGGTGACGCAGGCAGGACCTGGCTGTGAGAAGCTGCTGGCATCTTGCAACAGAGGCAGAAATGTTGTGGGGGCTCTACACCAGTGGTATGACGTCTGTGTAATGTGTTTACCTGTTTGGGTCTTGCTTGGAAAAGTAGATTTGGGAGTACTGAGACAGTGTTCAAAGTGTATTTCAGTCTTGTAGATGGGAATGTTTTGTTTATCAGGAAAATTCTGTTGCAGTTTTGGACATTATGTCCCACGGTCATTTTGCTTCCCCAAGGAGAGGGTCACTGACATCTGCATCTGCAGACATGATATAAATACTCTATGAAACGAAGCAGCTTTGCTGCTTTCTCTCCCTCCCTTTGCAGACTTGCATGTTGTTTTGATCTGTTTACACCTCTGGTGCCTTGGGTCTGATTATCATGAGTGTTTTACTGGGTATGGAGTTCGTTAGATGTGATAAAGCCAGGTTCCTGGGTTACCCTTTTGAAGAGCTAAGCTTTGCATTTGTGCACTTTGAAATTGGGCTAAGGAATATTCTGGGCTGGGCTGAAACAGAGGCGTGGAGAAATGGGGCTGGTCTTAGATCTGGTGAGATTGGGAAAATACTGGGTTAAATCCGAACACATCTGACCCTAAGATCAGTTGCTGGGAGTTACCAGATGGTAAGGATGGTTGCTGGATGTCTCATCCTCTTTAAGGCTGTGAAGATTGTGGACTTGAAGGTTTATCTGTCTTGGTGGGATGGTGGTAGTTGCAGCTGCATCTCCCCCTCGTGGAAAAGAGAGCAAAACTGGGATCTGTGGTAGGTTTGCAGTTGCTGGCCCAGGGAGGTGTGTACGTGGGTCAGCACCCAGAAATCTCCAGGTCAGAAATGCTCCCCCTGACCAGCTGCGTGAAGGAGGTTGAGAGTTATTTCCATCCCCCCAAATAAAGTCACCATCCGGTATTGTGGCTCTGCAGCAGGAGCCCTGGATATGCCTTGGGTCATATGCTATTTGAATGACAGAGTGAAAAAATCCTAAATTTAGGGTGGGTTTTTTCCAGATGACAAGACTTTATTAGTACATCTACTTAGTACTGACCTTAGCAAAATGAGAGCATTTTTCCTTGTATATACCAGAGCCTGGGAAATAAAATCTGTGATCCATAGAAAGTCAGTAATCAGATAGATGACTTAGTACCCAAGAAGCACTTGAGAGGCACATGTGATTACTGGATTATTTTAAGCCTATTAGTACTGCCTTGCTGTATTTCTGTGCCACATGAAAACCTGCACAGGTGTGCATATATACATGCATATACCCTGTTAGTCTCTATACATTTATACATATATAAATGTGTGGGTAGATCATCTCAGAAAACAAAACAGAAGCAGCTTTCCTCCCCGCAAGTATTATTTGCATATGGTATAAAGCAAGAGAAATCTCGAGCTAGAACTGTGTGCTTCTAATGACTGTGCTTCCAAAGGAGCCACGTGAGTGGCCTCATTCATCTATTGATGGCTGTGAGAAAGCAAACAGGTTGTCACAACAAACGTTCCTAGCCAAAATCCTAAAATGGCTTCTGTAGCATGAAGGGTTTGTGTCCAAAAGTTTTTTCAGCTCATGTGGAAGTGACGGTTCTGAGGAAATGTTGAAAATTTGGAACAAATCCAGCACTTGCCCTCTGGGATGTGTGAAAATCCATGTAACTTCTGAAATTCACATGGGACGGACAAAAGAAGAATGCTTGTGATTCGCTGTTACTTTGAAAACAGTCTTTGAGCTATAATTCCCATCATGTTTTCACTCTTCCCTCTTCCTTTCCAGGCAGTGAAGCTGATTTTAGCTCTTCGGGCAGCACAGGCAGTATTTCAGTGCCTGAAGTCCATCTGTCTGCTGCTGGAAGCAAGAAATCTTCTTTCTCTCGCAAGTAAGCAAAGCGATTTTTCCTGAACATTGAGAGTGCTGCTTGTGCAAAGATAGACTGCTGTGTAAGGTCTTGCAGTTAGTACATACAATAACTGTATTGTGAGATTTAAAACAATTTGGGTAACACTATGTTCTTGGGCAGCACCTACACTGATGAGAACTGTGATATGAGAAAGAAAAAATTATGCTGTATTTGGAGCACACAAATTGTCAGTATGTCAGATCAGCCAAATGGTATTTTTGCTGTTTATTCATAACAAGCAGGGAGATACAATCAGGTAAGGCAGAAGAGGCACTGGCTAGAGTAGAGGAGGAAACAACTGGGTGTATGTTAGTTAACAACAGTAACCAGTTAACCTTTTGGTTTTATTACTTTATTTCCTCTTTGTAATAAATTGTGAGCTTGACTTATACCTTTCCAGATCATGACCTTGTTTCTGTAGGAAGAGTAGACAATATTGCCTGTGATGCTTTTTTCTTAAACACCCTGGCCCAACCTTTACGTAACTAAAACTAAATGCGAATTTAGAAAATACCACAATCATCTGTCTGACCGAACCTTTCATAAAGGATTTCGGTGGGGTTTCTCCCCATCGTGTGTGGAGTGCAAATCCAGACAGCTTGTGAATGGGGGGGCGCTGGGCCTGGGCTGTGCACAGTGCACTCTGCCCACACAATCCCTGTTGTTTACAGGTTTTGGAGTAGGTGGAAAGAGTTCAGGTTGACAGGGCTGGTTTCCTGCCCTCTGTGGCAGAGCTGGCAGGCAGGGACCGGCTGCGGGGTACCCGTATGCTTGAGTCACACAGACGACTCCAAGATCGCAGTATGCCCCAGTGTACAGACATCAGCAGAATGATGCTTAATGAGCGGTTTCTTATCTGTGTTTGAGACTGTTACAAAAATAAACTTTACTTAAGCTCTCTCTAGATTAAATCTAACAAGTAAAGATACCGGCTGTGGGAAGAAACAGTACTAAGTAAAATATGAAGCCCTAAAATCACCTTACTTTCAGTAAGATTATGTATAATTTCATATATTATTGTGCATTTAAATATAACTTTAAATCAGAGCATATTGACCTACTGAATTGGGCAGAAGTCCTCTATCATAAGACTTCTTCAAATGCATTGCTGTGTTATGCACAGTCTGTACAAGTTCTGCCTCACTCCAGAGTTGAGGCTGTACTTTACAAAGTGGAAGGAAATGTCTCCTTTGCAATAGGCTCTTTTTTAACTGTTTGACTTAACTCACTCCTAAACATTTCAGTGTTGTCACAAACCACCGCCCTGCACTTCATTGTAAAATAATTGTAAAATCACCCAAACCGCAGCAGTCATGAAAGTTTGCAGCAGCCACTCAACCATCTGTTCCTTATAAGCTGTTCCACTTTCAGAGAAGGGAGGAAACCAATTCAAATGATTTTAAGGAGAGATTTTTCTTCCATAATTCTGTGGTATTTAAATTTTTATGTTCCAGCTTTCTCTTTTGCTGGCTGGATTTACCTTTTTCCAGACTTGTTTTAAAACCTGCCCTTTCATTAGAGTTTAGAACAACTTCCATGGGAGCAGCATAGTAGTGCAGGAAGGCAAACCAAGTAGGCACCCGAAAGGCTGTCCTCGGAGCGCTCCAGCCCTTTGGCAGCTGTTGGGCAGTGCAGATACCAGTTGCTTTCCAGGACACACAGTTGACAGTCAGATTTTTAATAAAGAGATGGAAAAGAAAGGTAGATGTGTATGAGGGAAACTGGAATGAAGGAAGAAAGAAAAGGCTGTGCTTTCCTTTGTCTATTTTAATACTATTCCAGCCTACTCTCAGTGGGGTTCAAACTATATCTAAGCAAATGAATAGCTGACAATGACAGCTGAAACACCCAGGATGCCAAAGGCAGAAAAGAACAGTGTCTCAAACAAAATCTGTTTTCACTGCACGCTGTGATCCCTCAGGCTGCTTGCTGAGGAGCATGAAAGCAGCCTTACAGCGAACCTCCACAGACGGGCATCTCTCTGCAGGCCTGGACAGGGAAAGCTGCAGCATGGTTCTTTTGGCACTAATCCAGGCTGCAGTCCTCTTAGTGGAGGTGGAAGTTTGGGGAACGTGGATGATGGAGTCACTGGGAACTGTGTCATCCACAGACAAATGCGAAGATGGCCGAGGTTTCCCTAGATCATGTGATTCAGACTGAGAGCCCCGCAGTCAGTGAAAGAACATGCAGTGGCTGATGGCTTCAGGACTTTCTTCTCAGCCACTCACAGTTGTCTGTCTGGTTTGTGTGTAAAGTAAGAGTTGTGTGGTGACGATAATCCAATGTCCTTGTCCTGGTTTTTGCTGGGTTAAAGTCAATTCTGTCCCTAGTAGCTGGTGCAGTGCTTTGTTTCAGCTTCAGGCTGAGAACAGCGCTGATAACACACTGATGTTTTAGTTGTTTCTCAGTAGCGCTTACCCTGATCAAGGACTGTTCAGTCTCTCATATTCTGCCAGTGAGGAGAGACACAACAAGCCAGGAGGGAGCAGAGACAGGACACCTGATACAAAGTAGCCAGAGGGGTATTCCATACCACAGCATGGCATGCCCAGTATATAAACTGGGGGGAGTCACCTAGAAGGGACCGATCACTGCTCAGGTCAGGCTGAGTATCGGTCAGTGGATGCATCACTGGTGGTTATTGGGGTTTTTTCAGCTCTCTTTTTGTTGTCTCCCTTTTCATTACAATCGGTGTTATCATTATTATTATATTTTACTTCATGTTATTTCAGTTATTAGACTGTTACTATCTCAACCCATGGGTTTTACCTTTTCTTCTGGTTCTCCTCCCTATCCCACCAGGGCAGGGGGGAGCGGGCGGCTTTGTGGATCTTGGTTTCTGGCTGGGGTTAAACCACGATAATCCTCTGACTGTTTGGTTCCCCTCCAGTCGTGGCCCTTATGGTCGGAATAATGGATCCTTGTCCTACAAGCCTGGAGCCAGCCCACTTGCTACCCGTGAAAAGGACCCTTTGCCAACACTGTGCAAAAACCAGCTGAGTCCTCCTAAGATCCATCAGAGTTACAGGGCTTCTTCAGTCAGCAGCAGCAGCAACTCAGGCTCATACAAAGGAAGCGACAGCAGCCCAGTGATGAGGCAAGTCTTCATTTCAGCATCCCGGTGTTCAGCGCATGACTTACCTTCTCTGCACTGTAACGTGGGATCAGCTGTACCAGTTGCAGAGCAGGTCACCTTGCTCCTCAGCATAGGTGTGACTCCTCATGCTGGTGGCTTGACAGTCATCAGGGTGCTCCATCCCTTGTAAAAGCTTTATTGTTTCAGCACTGTAAAATTCAAGGTTACTTTTAGTCAAAGCCCTTTGGAGTTTAATTTCACTCCAAGGCAGTCTCCTTCATGTGTTTTCATGCCTTCAGTTCTCATGGGGAATTAATGGTTCTTTTGTTGAAGGGTCCTTTCACTTTGGAGACAACTTGATGGGGTAGTATAGAAAATACTATACACTTGAGTGAAAATTCACTCTACCCAGCCTTGGGCACCCTCCTAAGGAGTGCAGTTTCCTGTACAGGAAGGAAAACAGATGCCTGCCAGAGCATGCGACACATACTGCAGAGAAGAAATTGCCACCACACTGCTGCTGTTTCCCTCCCTCTCCCTCTCTCAGGCAGTTCAACAGTCAAGCATGTCAGACACACACCTAAAGCTAGATAGGATGAGTCAAGGTTTCAGCATGCTGGGCTACGTAACTCCCATGTGGAGCTGACCTCAGCCTTTCCTCTCTGTGTCCCCAGCTGGGGACCCTTGCCAGGTCCTGGCTGCCTGCTCTTGGGCACATCATCCCTTTTGGGTGAGGGCATGGCTGGGTGGTTTAATGTTAAATGTCTCATTTGATGTCATGGCACTGAAACCAAGTACAGTAAATAGTAAATTTTGCAGTATAGCCACCAATCAGCTGTTTCCTCAAGTACTTTGATTTGCCAGAGGGTGTCACTTGTGTGGACACTGAGGAGCCCCAAATGAGTCAAATTTTGTATCAATCAATGGGTGCTTTTCATTCGGCCAGGACAGAAGAACTGTAGCAATGATGGTTTGTATATTTTCTTTTCAGGCGATCAGGAAGGTACAATAATTCTTGTGGTGACAATTACAACGGTAAGCCACAAAATCCAGAGCAGTATTTGACACCTCTGCAGCAGAAAGAAGTCACAGTACGGCATTTGAAAACCAAGCTGAAGGAATCTGAGAGCAAACTCAAAGAAAGGTAAATTTCACTTCAGAAATCAGAGCAAGAAAGAATCATTCAGAAGCATTTGGGGAGGGGGGGGAATCCCAAATACTTTTACTCATTTATTGACCACATAAAGTTTTCATTAAGAAATTTGAAATCTGATCAGTCCGAGTAACTTGTTTTCAAGTACTTCAGGTCTCGTAGTGTTCTCAGGGAATACATACCATGCAGTTTAGTTATGAATATAGCTGTCTCTTTTCCCTTTTTGGAACTTTCACTATAGACTATTTTTTAAAGGATTGTATTTTACCAGTCTGATTTAGCATTGAGAGGTCTTTTATACATAAAGCATTTTCTCCGTGCCAGCATGGGACCTTAGTCTCCTGTTCTGCCTCTCTCAGTGAAATATGACTACAAATGTCCCCCTTCTCCCCTAATGAAAGAAAAGCTCTTTCACAAGCCAGTGTGCCCACTTGTGGTTGCTGGCTGTGTGCTGAGGTTGGTGACTGATTGGCAGCTGGCTACATCTCTGCCAGTGTGCTCAGGGATGGCAGCAAATGGGGCATGGAGTTTGCTTCCTTCTTGGAGCATCCCTGCAGCACAGCCATCCCAGCAGAGAGGAGCCTCATGTTGATTCTTTAACTGACCAGTCAGCAGTAGTGTCACAGCACTTTTATTTTGCTACAGGGAAACAGAAGTAGAAGAGCTCAAAGCTCAGCTGGGACGGATGAGGGAAGACTGGATTGAAGAAGAGTGTAATCGTGTGGAGGCAGAGCTGGCCTTAAAGGAAGCAAAAAGTGAAATTAAACAACTTAAGGAGGTTATTGAAACCATGAAAAACAGCATGGCTGAGAAAGACAAAAAAATGCAGAAATATTTCCTCGACATAAACATTCAAAACAAGAAACTGGAATCTTTGCTGCAGAGCATGGAGATGGCTCAGCACAGGTCTGTGCAGGATGAGCAGTGCCTGGAGTACACATGTGACTTGGAAGGGAAGCCATTAGCATTGTGTGCCATGATACCAGACAGCCTCATCACTGAGGAGCAAGCTCTGGAGGAGGTGGCAGACAGTGGACTGCTTCTTAATGAGGACACAGCTGATGAGACTGATTCATGTAAAGAGAGTTTGACCACCAGAACCTTTGTGTTGAGTGATCCAGCTCCCTCCAATTCTGCTGTGAATGAAGAGATGCTTGAAAATGTTCTGGATGAAAAACTAGCTTCCCCCCAGGAGGAGGAGAAAAGCATCAACGTCATGGTGGAAAAGGCCATCCAGACTGATGTGGTGCCATATAGCCTGGATGTGGAGCAGTTCTTCCAGAGCATCTTCAGTGCTCAAGATAGCTATCCTCTAAGCCCACCTTCTTCACTGAAGGAGTTGGATGAATTTTCTCTTGGAAGCTTCACCGATTCTGCTATTGCAGTGGATTTAACTCCGAGCGATCCCAACTCTGCCATCCTTTTGTCTCCCATGGAGTCTCCATGCAGATTGGTGGAACGCGGAGTTAATGAAAACCATTTCATGAAAGAACTTGATTTTATAGACCCTCAGGATGATAAAACCTTTGGGTATGTCCATACTTCCTCTCAGATAGACACCAAGAGGAGTTACTGGAGCAGCAGTCTCCTCGCAGATGTTCTAGCTCTAGCAGTCCCTGTTATACCAACTGTCGTGTGGGCTTTCAGTACCCACAGAGGAGGCACAGAACCCATTTACAACATCAGCACATTGCTTCGTGGCTGCTGCCTGGTGGCCCTGTACTCCTTACGCCATACACCCTTCAATACCAAAATTTAAAGTCCACTCTGACCCTGGTGCCAACTGGCTGAGGCAGAGGGGAATAGGGATAAGATAGGTCATGAAAAGTTATCGTGTATTCTTTAAGAGTTCATAATTTTGCTTTTAATGATTTGATTTGCACTATAAATTGTTCCAGAAACATGTTCCTTGAATAACATAGCTGAATCCTATAGTTCCACAAGGTATTTTTTAACTGGTGTTTTTAGCAGTACTGCTGCCTGCAGAGATGGCCCTCTTGCTCTCAGGCACTGCGTCCTTCCCCTGTGCTGGTGTCTCTCTGGTGCTAGCACATCTGCACAGTGAACGTGACCAGGGAAATCAAGGAGACTTGCAGCTCGTGTCAGTGTTTGTCTGCTGAGCTGGAGTGGAGCTCGGTCACATTCCCTCACCGGTTCGCTGAGCAGATTCACTGGCTCAAGGGTAGCACGAGACACGCACAGAGAAAGGAGCGGTATTTCTTGAGGCAGCACTAGCCTCAAACATTTCTGGTACTGCAGCATTAAGTAAGTTACACAGAGACTCGAGCCCAACAAGGGTATCACCCATGTGCTCCAGAAAGCATGCTAGCGCTCTCCATCTGTTGTCCAGAGTGTCAATTCAGTTGAGCGGTAACACACATACTCCCCAGGCAGCTTCCACCCAGCACATCCTTTGTCCCTGTCTTGTGTAGTGCTCTTCTCAGTGGTGCAATTGCTCGAGCATCTCACTGGTCTTGTGCGTATACGGGGACTGTAACCAAAAATGTACGTTGTTGGGAGTCTTGAAACTTGTTATAAGTATAGGTGTAGATACACTTTGAATCTTAATGTTGGTTTAAGTCTTAGTGTATTGGAACAGGATAGTCTTCTGATCCCTTTAAAATACTAAGTATAAATGTATTGTGGTTTAACTTATTGTTTATTTAATTGTTTTATTGTAAGTTACCTTTATTATCACAAGTTCATTAAAGCATGTTGGAAATGTCAATTGCGTGAGTGTTTTATTGTGGAAAAGCTATAAAAAACACCCCGTTTCAGCTGAGCTCTCAGGCACAGGCCAAGCAGGAGGAGGCACAGTGTTAGGGCGGAAGGAACCACAGGACACAGCACAGAGTTAGACTGAGGAAACTGAAGCACAGCTCCAAGCACGAGCACTCAGCTAGAGGAAAGGGCTGCAGTGGGTCAGTGGCCATGTGCACCCACACTGCATCACAGGCACAAGGGACCTGCTCTGAAACCCAATGCAGCCTCAGGAAACTTACAACTTCCCGTTTTTGTGCTCTCAGGAGAGCATCAGTCGTCCTGGCTTCTGACAGAGGTCCAGGAGGCCCTGTTTAACTCGCACGTCAGTCTCAGTGGGCACACTGAGATGCAACTGTGACCATCAAACCATGAACTCTCCATGCCCAAACCCTGAGATCTGTGCACACATCAGAGGAGGGCAGCATTACCCAACAGATGAACAGTGGGGCTTGTCTGGCTCCACACAAGCTTCCAGCAACACCTCTGGCTATTTAGACCTCACTGGCCTCCTGTTTTCCTCTTTGCAAAGCAAATGGAGTATTTCCCTGTGCAGCTCAGGACAGAGGAGGCCTGGTGAAGCCTGACAGCGCCCCGTGTTGCTCAGCAGCTTTGGGAGAAGGGGAGCTGTTAGGAAGCCAGAGGGAGGAGGAATAATTGGCCAGCATGTGGGAGCATTTGCAACACTCAAGAGGGTGATGCAGACTGGTGCTTACAGAAGCAAGTTGGAGTCCTTTCACATCCCTGTGATACCTGGTTCTGCACTATTTGTGCTTGCAGCAAAGATTCAAGAGAGTTCTTTAAGCATTATTTTAAGGAAGAGAATTAACAGACAATTAGACGTGACACAGTCCCCAAGAGCTCACCAAGGTGGTTATGGGAGCATGCTGCTTTCTTTGCCAGTGACTTCGTCTCCAGTGCTCCGGCGGGCCTGCCGTGCCCCGTGAGGCTGCTGCAGTAGACACTGCTCAAAGGTCGCTTTCAGAAGCTTTGTCATTGCATGGACACCAGGGCCAGTGTGGGGGGGTTAATGTAGATGTTACACAAACAATTTCATCATTGATAGGTATCTTCCCCTGGGACTAGAACACCTGACAGAAAATGCCGTGTTCCTGCTTCAGAGTACGTCTGCTCAAGACCGAGCGAGCAGTATTTTATACCATAAGATGTTACCAACTTTATTACAATTTTGGATTTCTCTATTGCAGCAAGAGGCAACAAAGCAGCACAAACCCACATTTAGGTTTAAAATTCCAATAGGCCAAACTCATTTCATAGAATCACAGACTGGTTTGGGTTGGAAGGACCTTAAATCTCATCCAGCTCCAACCCCCTGCCACAAGCAGGGACACCTTCCACTAGACCAGGTTGCTCCAAGCCCCTGTGTCCAACCTGGTCTTGAACACTGCCAGGCGTGGGCCAGCCACAGCTTCTCTGGGCACCCTGTGCCAGTCTCACCACCCTCGCCCTCGTTAGGAAGAATAATAATTTCTTCCTAATATCTCATCTAAATTTCCCGTCTTTCAGTTTAAAGCCATTACCCCTTGTTCTATCTCTACAGGCCCTTGTAAAAATTCCCTCTCCAGACTTCTTGTAGCCCCCCTTTAGGCACTAGAAGGCTACTGTAAAGTGGAGCCTTCTCTTCTCCAGGCTGATTTTAGCAGTAGTGTTTTTAAAGGTGCTGTTGAAGACATAACGTGCTAGCACCAGAATAACATCAGAGTTGCTTCTAGCCTTAGAAGTCGTCTGGTCTGCTCAGATCACATAAGGCATTTAACTGCTCAGCAACAGGTGACCTTTATTCCCCGATCCACAGAGGATGTGGATACTGTACCACCTGCTGATAACACCATTATGCATTTTGGTTTCTAGCCCAGGAACAAAAAATTCTTTACTCTTCAGCTGAAGGGGTACCCAACATGCCCATCGGCTGATGAAAACACCGAGGTTCAGGCACTGCCTACCTGTCGCCCAGAGATTGACCCTTACTTACATCCATCCTCTCTCAAGGCTGTTCTTAAACTTCTGATTACTTACTAACTTCTCCTTCCTTTCACCTCAAAGCAACTCTCTCCTAAATCCCAACCCTTAGAAACATACTAAAATGAAAACACTGTTTTATGTATGTTCTACATACATACAGGTGAGAATTTTGCTCCAAACCCCTTCAGACAAATGAAGACAGGACATTGCAAACAACTAGAGCACAGCCAAGGAAAGGATGATATTTCAGTCAGCCTGGCAGGTCCATTCTCCATAGCCAAAAGTATCTGAAAACTGCCATCTAATCACTGCACTTGTGCATGATTTCAAGCAGCATGACAAGCATACTAACCATTTTTAAAACCTCTTCTGTGAGGGACCAAGCCCACTGAAGGTCACTCTTACTGTCATTTTCTCCATTACTTACCTTTCAAGCAAAACTTGTGTCAGAACCTACTAGAACTTAGTTAATTCCATTCTTTCAGCCAGGCATGATGTAGTCTGACAGCCTCCCGCCCCTTTGCATTCCTTTACAACTTCACTGCTCCCTGGATGCACAGGGAACAAGTCTCAGGCACAGAACCCACTGTTTTCACTCATCTGTCACAGGTAAGAAATCCATACAACCCCCGAATGCAGGGATAACAGCATCCACACAACAGAAGATGGAGAAGGCATTCACTGAAGCTTTGAGGTGTATCTAAGAGCCACGCAGACTCCCCTCCTTGTGTACACCTTCTCTTCCAGCAGACATGAAACCTCCTTTCCTCTTTAAAGCACTGTTTTCTACTGCCTATCTACCCTGCACGCTTTCCCAGAGGAATTCCAGTGTAAGTACATACAGTGAGTGTACAAAAATGGAATCTGACAGGTGCTGTGAACTGAACTGAGAATTTTCACACTTAGTGTTATTAACAGGACCAATTTTTTTCAATTATACGACCTGTGCAACAACTATAAGGTGAGGGTTTTTTTTCCTAACTGTAGGAAGAATTTCTGACATAAACACAAATTTATCACTATAAGTGAGCGATGAGATGGCTCCCCGTGTTCACATCAGCCTGCATAAGAAAGGAGCAGTGAGCACCGCTGTGGTGTGGTGGTGTCACTGCAGTGTCCATGCGTAAATGGGCCAGGCAGCACAGGAAGCTGCAAGTGTCAGTGACAATAAAGCCACTTCGGTGTTCAGCTTTCACTTGTGCTCTACCGTAGCATTATCTACCAGGACTAGATTCAGAGTCACAGGTCATCTGTAACAAGTGCTTTTCTCCTGCACATGTCAAAATATGATCACCCATGGAAAACTCTGAAGTATTTATAAATACTTTTATAAAAAGGCAAAGGCAGACATTCTTTACCAGGCAGGAAGCAAAGGGTTCTTTAAAACTGTTTAATTACATGTTTCAGGTAAGCACAGACAATACAGTAGATTTCCCACCACTGAATATTTACATTCTGTTCTCTAGGCTTGAGCTGTTCATTAAGAATGTCTTTCAATCAACATCCCTGCTCAATCACTTCTGCTGCAAAGAAGGGCGCTGGAATAGAACTATTGCAGGAATCATGATTCCATCAAGGCATGATTTTCTGTGGGCTTTTTCTCCTTTAAGAGAACCAACTAGTAGTTCAAGGTATTTTGGGAGAATCCTGGATTCCAAGATGACCTGAAGAATGCACTGAAACCAAGCAGCATGTTGAAGTCCTAGAAATACTTAAAATCAATACCAATATGTATGTTTTAGAGCTGAAATTCTCTTCTTCACTGGCGCTGCCATTGATGCCTGGTTTCTGTTAGGACAGTTTTACGCCAATTTTGTTTTGTTCCTTTTTCATTAGCCTCTGGGCCTCTTTCTCCATTTTCTTCCGCTGCTGCTCTGCTGCTCTTTTTTCCCTTTCTGCTATCTTCTGTTGTCTGTAATTAAAGAAAACATCAATTGCTAGATAACAGGAAACCAATTTTTAGCATGGTCATACCTTAAGTTCTCATCAATAAATAGGTTGTTACAACTAAACAAACAGAGATGCACTTTACTGTATTTAGGCTCAGAACAGTTATTCTTTTATTGTGAAGTCCTTTTTTTCTCCACATTAATCTAGTCTTAGGCAGCAATATTTGTTCAATTCTTTTCCAATCTAAAAGCCACTCAATTCCCAAAGATTGAGAGTAAGAGAATCAGTGAGAGCATATGGCTAATATAAGGCTATTATAAGATAAGAGCTATTTAGAAAAAAAAAAAAAAAGCTATCTAATGCTTTGACTATTAAGATTACCTGTTTCTTCAGATTCAGACCTAACCAGTTTGACTTGTCTAGAACATCAACTTAGGTCCCCCTTTGCCCCAGTAGAAGCATCAGTAGTTATTCTCTTGGTAATACAAGTACTACAAATATTTCCCTCATGATCAGGTGAGATGATAACTTCTAACACTCCCTTTCACATGCTCAGGATCTGTGTTGTACTCTTGTGTTCAGTACAAGAATAAACAACAGTCTTTAAGAAAATTAAGTAAGAGTTTTCACCTGTGCATCCTTTTGGCATTATTCCTCATCACTGCTATAAAGCCCTGGACATCACTATTTGCTAGCTCAAAGAACTTGTCTACAGAAAAGGTTTCCAGTTTCCACAAATACAGAGCTGACTAGAGCAAAGGGCAAAAACAACGCAAAATTCCACTCATTCTGTTCCCCCACTACAGCTACAACACATCACTGAGTGGCGCAGGCTCAACAACTGGATCCATACCCCAAGTGGCACATCGCAGCTCTCTCCCCTGTGTTGTGTAAGTAGTATTAGAATGGCATAAGGAGGTCACTCCCACTTTCAATTCAGTTTATTAGATATTTAAAGTTTGCTATGTAGCTAGCAAGAGGACTGTAAAAATAAATATGAAGCTTCATTAACTTGAAAAGCTGAAATTTAACACAGATTCAGTAGAATTGCTCATTAAAAGAAAATAAAGAAATCTAATTGACAGGGCAGTAAGGCGTTAACTTTCAATGAATCTAAATTACCTGTGCACATCCACTTAAGCGTGTAAAATATACAGAAATAAAAGGATCAACACCTGAAGCAACCCTCTCTGGTAGATTCCAACTATGGACAAGGTGGGCACAAAACTTCAAAATGTATGAGGTACAAAGACTACACATTATCTTTGTACTGACAGGAGAGAGACTGCAGTTACTTTATACCTCATTGTTTCCCTTGATTATTAATGGCTAAAAGTTTTCCTATACTCTATTAAGCTGCTCTGCTGTCTGTCATGGAAGAATGCAATTAGTCATTCACATCAGGATCTACCTCCCAAGTTAATGGAAGCCCGAATGTTGGGGATTTTTTGAGATCATGACCCACTATTCTAAGTCCCACCAGAAAGCAGATAGCTGACAGTGCTGGCTGTCAAGGATATGCAGAGGAATAATATTTGCCACTTTACAGCAGCAGATTTTCTTACATTCACCACACCTCTGAACTGATGCAGAAGGGGACCAGCCAGCATGTTAAAGAATTCCAGAAAGCTACATGAGGTGCTAAGCAATGCTGCTATTCATTTGCAATTCTGAAGTGAGGAAAGTCATACCAGGTCATGTTTCTTCTCCCTACTAAAAAGTGCATATTGCAGAACTCTGAACAGAGAAGTGGTTTCCATGCCCTCTACTGGCTGAGTAGTTTTACTGGACTTCAGTTATGCCCAAATGAAAGAGACCTTCACATCACCTCAAATGGAAGAACTGAAATCACCAAAACATAGAAACAAGCAGCTTGCTGCAGAGCGATTACATTTCCACTGCTTTTTTACTCGGTCAACATTCAAAACATTGATCTCTGTTCCAAACTTCCTTTCTCAATGGAAGACAAGCACTTGACAAACTGCAGCCATATCTGACTCACTTTTTCTGGGTTCCAAAGCAAGGAGTTCAGGGAGGTTTGGATGGATACAAGTTGTTTAAACCAGGAAAGTATTCATTCCTTCCATTTGGTCTTTTACTTCAACACAACTAAAAATGTACCAGCATTTAGCTTAACTGTTCCTAAAGGGAAAAACCAACTTCACTGGTATTTAGAAAGTCTAAAGGTGAAGATAGGCATCTACAATTTGCAAAAGAAACAAAGGTCTAGTTAACCTCAATAAACTGAAAATTCAGTTTGTCATCTTCTACACTGATTCACCACTGACTGGAAAATTTCAGTGCATCCCAGCCCAGAACATGCTGGGAAGTAAGAAGAAAGCCCCAAAAGCATAATACAAGAACTTCTCAGGCATTAGTACTCTACTCCTCAGCACTATCTTTCAGCATGCTTTGATTCCACGAAGCATATGGCTTACTCTGCATGCTTATTTCAACTGTCAGGCATAAAATCACCAGAGAGGGGACAGAATACAGTCTTCTCTGCTATTCAGCAGGCCACAGCCCATTTTTGCACGATTGATCTGTACTCCATTACTACACAAAAAATACTCCACTCTAAGATACTTCTGAATGCTGAGCACAAAGGGGGATCCAGGCACTGCTAGCTACGGGAGATCTTACTTTTCCTGCACATTCGTTCTCAATAAGCATGGCTGGAGTACAGTCAGCATTAACTCTTTGGAGGGTCAGGGGGACTGTCCCCCATTTAGCAGTCTGAAATCTTCAGATCATTTTGTAGACCAAGATGCAGTCTTTTAGTATTAAGAAGAAGCTCCAGATGACTTCCTTACTACAGTCTGTTGAAAGGAGAGCCAGGCCTGTCAAGTACTATACTTAAGTTTTATGTTAAATGTCAGATGTTAATTACACCACAGATGTCTACTGCAAGAGAAACTGTAAGCCCTGAAGGTATTTCCTATCAGTCTTGCTAGAAATCAGCCAGCACCTTCCCCAATTATAGAAAAACGTTGTAATCTGGTGTGTCATGAATAAAACAAAATTCTATTTCACACAGCTGGGATACAGCTTACACAATGATCAGTTGTACCGAGGTGGTCATTCATAGCTAGCCAAGCAGTACGTAATACAGACAGTTACAGTTCTGATCATGTTCGTTCCATGTATTTGAAATATTCAGACACATCTCTTGTAAAACCAGTAAAGTTTGATATTTTTAGTGGAGCCAGAAAAGAATTCTATAAAAATTAACCACTTGACTTGAAGCTTTTCAATGGCAAAGATGCCAGGTGGAAATTGTTAGAATAGCTTCAACCAAACAGGATGACACTTGGAAAAATAGAACTTGTGAGAAAACTAGTAGCTAGTCTAAGACAAGTCCCTGCTTCAGAAAGTTTGAATACTTCTTTTCAGCATCCTAAAAATGTCTGTAATTGAATGTGGCAAGGGTTAAATCAAGTACAACACAGCTTCTGTGGTCAGCAAAAGTAGTTGATTCATTTCTCAGTTAAAGAAAAAAAACAAAACAAAACAAACAGCATTCTTCACTGTCTTTCATTTTCTTTGTCTGATGCGCCATAAATTAAGTCTCAATAGATTGCACTTTAGAGATCACAGATCTTACTGAGTCTACTGATACACTTTATGGGAAAAGGTATTACCCTTAGAACAAAACCAGCCCAAGCCACATCATTCATATCACAAAGCTCATACTCCTGTGATCCATTAGTGAAAGATGAGGTGAAACCACTTCAGTGTGGAAGTTAAAATCAAACCCAAGATGTTGACCAGAGCGCGCACCTAGAGGCGTCTGATTAAGTTTACAAAAATATTTGCCTTATGACCCTATTCTCACATGTGAGGCTGCTGCAGAGGAAGATTGACAGAATTACAATTGCTTGAATTTATTATTTATCATTAATGCATCAAAAGGGTGCTGATGATGTCCCCCATATTCTACTGGTTGAGAAAAGTAAACTTTCCCAAATATTACAATAAATAGTTGACCAGAATGCTTTTTTGCAGATTTCCCCTACTATCTCATCTACTAAATTAATTAGATCCAAAATGCATTCTGCCAAGTACCAGTTACGTAGAGCTCGGGTGCATAAAAATCATTTGTCTTAAGACTTGTTTAACAATTCTTAGCCCTTATCAGTAAGGTTACAACAAACCAACCTGCATTTGATTCCTTCACATGTAAAAAGTTTACATGGTGTTACATTATTTTCAGTTACCTAAGAACTTCTTCTGCCTGCCATGCAGCATCTTCCTCTTCTTCCCAGGCATTAGTATTTTCTTGCCAAGTATCCAAGTCCCCCAGTTCAGGCTGAAACAAAAGAAAGCATGAAGAAATGTGATAAAACATTTATTTTTACCTTCGATGCCTCAGACTTCTAGAAATATTTGATATAAGATGATACTCCTCAGCTGATTGTCTATGCTTTTTCCTCTTCTCTTATACTGAATTTTTCCAGTTAATTGTTGGAGGTTTGTTTGGTTGGTTTTTTTTATTGGTGGATAACAAAGGAAGAAAGGAAGTACTGGAGCGGCTTTTAGGAAGGAGAAGATAAGTTGAGCAGCTGAAATGAGTAGAAAGTAGATTTCTGGAAGTTGCATGGACAAACCAACATGTACATCCACATGTTGGTGTGTCCACTATCACTTGAGTGCCGTTCTTCTTCACTACAATTCCTTTCCTGAATTATTTTCATTATGGACAGCCTAAGGAAGTGGTATGACCCTTCTGTATTGCTTTCTGATGAGACCCTTCTGTGCACTATGTTAACCAAAGCAGAAGCAACATTAAAGAAGGCAAAGGGGAAGGGAGGGAGAGCACCTCCATCTAAATAGCCAGGCTGTTGGGTAACTAGTCTATTTATAAAAAGGCTAAAAAGCAAAAAATTAGGAGACTGTTAGAATACAATCCCTACAGAAAAGAAGGGAGAAGTAGAAAGTTAAAAATGGGTCCAAGGTAACCCAGAAACTTTCAAAAATAAAAAGAAAAAACAGAAATCCTTCTACTTCTTGTTGGGAACTTACTGTGTAGAATCAAAAAAAACCCAAACGTGTAGTCCATTGCTTTAGAAGATTCACAAGTATACAAGTGTTTGGAAGCTTCTTACCTTTTTATCACTGATCTGTTAAGTTTCTCAGTAGAATACATCAGTTAAAATTAGATTAACTACTTCATTGCTTTGAACCAAATACTCAATTTTAAAACAATTTACATTACTCCACAACTGTTCCTCTTGCTTCCCACAATGCAGACCTTAGGCAGACTATTCATTCTCGTACAGAACAGTCATTTAACTGTCAAGTATAAAGATCAATACTTAGAACATACTTACAGACTGGTGAATAAAAGGAATATCTTGTGTAGCTGCTAATCTGCTAGAGAATCCCGTGTTTCCCTCTGGTATCCCAAAATTTAAAGGCTCTCGTTTTTTAATAACTATCTGAAAATATTGGAAAAAAAAAAAAAAGAAAAAAAAGGGAAGGACAAGTGAGTCAAAGCACTGCACAGGTTCCTTGGTGACCATCTAACTCTGTGCCTGTGACGATACAGATAGACAACAGCACACAGTGCCTCAAACTTGCTGAGGTTCTGGAAGCTGTACAGCCAGAGGAACTGATATGAAGAGAAGCTAAATGCAAGACACAAACACTCCCTCCTCCCCCTACCAGCTTTTTCTTAAGTCATATGGCTTAATGTGACTCAATCTGTGATTACAGATCAAATAGACACATCTCCCTGTACTCATATAAGCTACCAATTACATGACATATTCCTTGGATAAACCCTGTTTCCATGAAAGGTCACTGCATGATACTACTCTTGAGGATAGTGCTGTCTGCACAGCTATACTGCTCTGGAACATGGAGCTCTCTTAGCTACTTCAGTAGCATACCTATGCAGACAATTTAAGTTTCAATACTTGCAACGTAATTCACTATCACATTAACTGGTAAAGCTCTGTACTGATGTGGCTGAAAAACATGCACTAATGCTTCCCCTACAAGGCTTATTAGAAAATTCAAGACAGTTGTTAAAATCATATATCCCTTATGTGTGTGGACTTCAAGATATGAACTTACTTATTTCATTTAGCCTACTTTACATCTCTGCCAATTCCAAAAGAGGCAGATTCCCAGATCCACTGACTGTACAAATGCCACTGCCAATGTAAGAAAAGAAACAGACTAGACCATCTTATTTAGCAATGAGAGACACCGTTATTTGAGTGAGGTTCCATTTTCATACATTGCAGATATGAGTGGTAACACGAGTAGATTCCACCTCCAATCTTGGGGTTTGAGTCCAGATTTGGTGGCAACAAACACAAATTCATATTTGAGAGTGGCAACACGGCAAAGCTAGCAGGAATGTTCTTTACAGTGCCTGCAGTCACCCCTAAAAGTACATTTAAACCAAACCCAGGATATAGCACTCAAGCAGCATGCACTCTTCTTGAGGAGAAATTTACCCCTCCAGAGGTATCTCTGCCCCCAGATTCTGAGAGATCAAAATCCTTAGCAGAATTTGTTCCACAGAATACAGCAGATCCTGAATGCACAGAAAACTGATCCCAGCATCATCTCCAGTTCATAGGACGACAGGAAGACTCAGGTTGGAAAGGGCCTCAGGAGGTCTGAAAAACAACCTCCTCCTCAAAGCACTGTCAGCTCAGAGGCTGATGAAAGTACTCAGCTAATCCACCTGGATTTTGAAAACTTCCAGAAATGGAGCCTGTACAACCTCTCTGGTAATCTGTTTCAGTATTTGACTGCCTTTGTTGTGAAAAAGGTTTTCCAATTGACTCAAAGTGGTATAAGTACCCAGGCTGGAAGATTTCCACATACAAACAAATCTTGCAATTACCAGAAGCTTAATCAGCATTTATTTACAGTGTCGATGCTCTTGTGGATATGCCCTTCTGTCTTGTCTCCATAATAAAAACGGGTATTTGAAGAGCAAGCTATTCTGAAATACCAGCTTACTAATTACAGCCTCCCCAGTATAACTTGGTGAACTGTTTTCTGAAAGAGCAGTGCTGCTACTTCAAACTTCAGTACAGCAGGACATGGAATGTCTCTGTTCAAATAATGGAAGGGTATAAGCACAAGTATCTTAGTGCAGTAGTTCCATTTTCAGAACTTGAGAGCTCTCACATTATATTTTCCGAGCCCTCAGACTATGGAATTATAAGCTTTCAATAACATTGAGACTAAAGATGTAAACAGGAACCAGCATCACATTCGCTAAGATCTCAAAGAGTCAGTATTTTGAACTGGACATGTTAGACTACACATCAGCACCTGTGTGATCTCATTTCAACAGGATATCTTAGTTTTACCAGCAGCACCTTCCCTAAGTTGCTGATTTATTTATAGCTTATTTTAAAGGAAGGTAAACCCTCAGTAAGCACAGTTGAAAGTGCAATACTTACTTTTTGAGTTTTTCTTATAGTTGGCGTCATATCTTTGAAATAATCAGGTTCCATTTGTTCCAAAGGGTTCTGCTGAGCAGCCACATTACCATTGCCACCTTCAATCTTCACACTGGTAGGTGCATCTTCATCCCATGATGACCAGTCTTCTACTTCAGGCTGAACAGGAAGTATATGGTACAAGTTAGTATTATCTGCGAGCAAAAGACTCGTCTTTCTTTATCTTGCTAAGATATATACTTAATATTATAAAGGACTGGTGTAATCACTCTGTTAAGTGATTGTTTCTTAGGTCACTTACTGCTTAAGCAATTACCTGTTTAGGAACAGATGAATAATCCACTGTGGTTGGCAAAGTTATTTGGTCTCCACTTAACTTTCGCCCTCTTCCAGACCTGAAAGAAAAATGTAGGATTCCTCCAAGCTCTGAAAACATGAGCACTAAGTTTAAAAAAAACAAAAAGGAAGTCTGAGAACAGCACTACTGAATATAGTCATGGCTAAAACATTCAGTCCTTACACTACTTTAGTTTTAACTACTGCCAGTGAAAGTTTGCCAAACAAAGGAATTTCATCATGAATTTAAAGTGGTGTTTACAAGAATTTCCAATTTACTTTTCAAACTGCTGTGGAAATACAGGAGAAGCAATTTTAAATTATGAAAATGGACAAATTAACTCCATTATTTGCATATAGACAGTTCCTATTTTTAGATTGTCAGTGCTTATAAAGCAAGCACTATTGATTTACATTTGTTCAATGATAACCATTTCTACTGCAAACTGAGAAATATTTCTACTTGTCTTAGATGTTGTGTCTGACAAACCGCTTTCTGAGCCGCTTGATTTGAAAGCCCCTCTAAAGCACTTTCCTTTAAAGCCTAAACAGAGGTACTATGAGATTATGCAAGTCAACACCTTCTGTTCAATACATGCTTCTACTTACTTAAACAACAGTTTTAACTAAAGCGTTTCAGCAGCTCCATCAAATAATTTTCACTGAACACTAATGCAAATAAAGCACCTAGATGTTTACTTAATGACACCATTCAAAGATCACAATAATAATTACAATATTCTTAGCTGACATTCACTATATTTTAAAACCTTACAACACAAGAGAATGAAATTCAGGGTCACACTCATTTTTTCCCCAAGTTGTGCAATTTCCTATAGCAAGACAGTCATGTAAATGACTTTCTACAGCTCAGAAAACTTAAGTGTTATTTATTACTACTGATGAGAATAAAACTGGAAACTACAATTTTAAGTTCACATCCATTAGTTTTACTATTAGAGACCATTCTACCATAAACTCAGAATAGCCAAATTGCTTGTAATACCACCTCTGCTGCATGCCGGTGAGTGATTAGATATATTTTCTTAGTTTAAGCCTAAAAGATCCTTCCTTAAGATCAGGTGCTGTCATCAAATATTCAAGCTTTATATAATTAATTCTAGCCCCCTTAAAACTGTCCCTTTAAACTGGAAAGCAACAGTCTAGGGGTAAAGGAAAGTGAAAATGCAGTTTCTTCAAACACATTAGAGATTTCTGGTTCTGGCTGACTACATTTAGCTGATGTCTCTAAAGGAAACCCAAGCTTGGAAACATCCTTCAGACCTGTACAACACATGTATCTTTAGTACTATGCTAAGCCATCACTTCTGCAATTATACGTATCCCCTATTTACAGGATACAGAAGATTCCAGCAAGTGGCTTGTAACAAACATTCAGCTACCCAAAATGATTACAATGACAACAGCTTCCCTCATACAACATAGGAAAGAACATGCTACACAGGGCAGCACTGAGGAAGGCCATGTATCTCCACTTCTTTTTCTACAAAGTGAACAAGATGCTGCTCTTGGGTATTGTTTCTCTTTACTAATTAGCAGTATCCAGATTTCTCAGCTGGAGAAACTAGCTAGAGATTTTAAACAGAATAAAGTTTCATCCTTTTTTGTATGTATATCTTTTATTTCCTGGAAACAGTGCATTCAGGCAGGCTTTTACATATAAAACAAAAAAGTTTTTACTAATGAGATGACTAGTACCACATGTAGGCTTTACGCTACTACAAAGATGCATGATCTCTACAGGCACTTGTATAAATGAAAACCCAATGTAAACTATATAACCTAAATAAGCAAAAGTTCATAATCACTGAATTAAAATGCATGTTTAATTAAATCATGTTTGCTGGTTAGCAAGCACAATGCAGGGGAGCATTACAGGAGAAAGAAATGACCAAGGTATGCTTTGCAGCCAACATTAAACAGAAGAAACATCTGTAGTTAATGGACTGAACTAATTTCATCCACTGACTTGCTTATGTGAAAGATTTTAAATTTTCATTCTTTCAACTAACTGCTATTCACAGAAGAAAAGTTCTTTTTACTCCCAAGCAGTTCCTTAGCTGTTAATTTCACGGATTTGGTTCATTCAGAATTTGAAAAACTGAGGAAAATACTGTCATTACACCTACTAAACAATTACCTGCTTATAAAAGCTATCTTCACACTTAGAGAGATGAAGGATCTACGTAATACAGAAGCTATCATCAGCTCAGTGTTCTGATTTCTGTTAGAACTTATATGACAAGTATTCTTAATTTAATTTGGAATTGAAATCACAGAACTAAGGCTGACATCTATATAGCTGTATGCAGCATTAAAATATATCTTTCTAAAGCTTCACTAGATCTGTAGTGAATTTACCAACCAGTTGAGAGCTGCCTCTTATTCTTGGGATAAGTAAGGTGAACAGGAAATAAACATTTAATTTGTGTCTACCACGTACTCTGTATATGCTTTAACCTCACTGGCAAAGTAGTAGCCATCATACACAAAAGAAGAATACATTTCTCTAGATGGCTATTTGTTTATGTAAAACAACATTCTCTAAGAGTAGCAAGAAGCAGCAGTACTTCACATGACAGCAGCGCTGAGATGTACCTCAGCTAATCTGCTACTGTTCTATTGAACTCTACTAACGTACAACCGTAACTCTTGAGGGATTTTGAATGCTTCTAGGTACTACACTACTATGTTCATGGGTCTACAACTCAAAAGAACACTATGTATGACCTAGAAGAGTAAGCAAAGAATAAGTTATGTTCATTAAAAAAAAAAAAACAAAAACAAACAAACAAAAAAACCCCCAGTTTCCTTGAACTTTAATCACTGTCCTCCAAACTTTTGAAAGAACCTTCAACAGGCGAAAGAATCTGAAGTCTCAGGCAACTGTTTCTTGACAAAGCAGGATTAGAATCACATATTTATAATGAAAGCCTACTGACTGATGACTGGATGGGTGCTGCCATTAATCGAATCTCTTAAAAAACAAAGTATCACTTGCCAAGTACTTATAAAAAATGCAGAGAACAATTCTGCTTTAAGTTTGACACAGGATATTTTTAAAAGGCATTTTTAAAACTCTGTCATAGCTGTTTAGAAACCACTCATTAGAGCTATCATACCATGAAGTACACTCACAACTGCACAACGTAAACTTTTGAATTCTGAAGGAGTAAGAAGATTAAAGCATGAATTGGACTTTGTTTTTATCTGTCTTGTTTTGCAATTAGTAAAATCAGAGCTGGGAAAAGTGGCAGGTGGATGTTGGGAGAAGGAAAGAAGTGAAAGAACCTGTAAATAAAAAAGACAAGGTAACCAAATGAAATCACACGTATTTACCTGCATATTAACTTTTTAATGAAAGAAAGCACTGCTGCCAGGCAAGTACAGATTTTAAAGAGTCGAAACTGTGTTATGGCCATGGTGAGAAACCCTTCCTGCAAAAGAAAAGAAATTAGATATAGAGGATTATACATCTTTACATAGTTCTTAAAGTCAACTTCTTAGCTGCTGATAAGCAAGGAGCATTCTATAAAACTATATCAACGCAAAAAGAGAGATGAGGTACCTGGAGCACAGACACTACCTACCTACTACCAGGACATTTCACTGATGTAAATAATTAAAGTACTGAATATATACAGCCTTTACAGAAACAGCACATAATCATAGGTAAAGTCACAGTTGGAGAAACTTTTAAATGGGAAGTGTGGGCAACCAACTGCAGTGACTGTACAGCTGCTGTTTTATACACTAACAATGGCACTGAACACTAGCAATGCAAGAAGAACAGAATTACCATCAGAAAGAAGCTCACATTTGCATGAGCAAGTCTTGCATATACAAATTATAAATTTAGTCATTAAACCAAACCCCAAAATTGGCTGTTTAAGTCTAGCTTCCATTTTGATGGAAATGTATGATGAGAACAAACATTTTAGAACCAGTGTCACTGAAAAATAATCAGCAAAGAAAGACTCTGTTCAACTTGTGTGCACTATCACAGCAGTTAACCCCTGGATCTATCAATATTCCTGTTCCGGACTGGATCATGCTGGGAAACCCAGACAAGAAAAAATAATCACGTTTGGCTGAAGCCATTTAGGCTTGTTTCAGTGTCAATCTGATCATCTAGAGAATTCATACTCAGTATTTCACACTATTCCAAAAGATTCCCTTACACAGGTACAGACTGAGTCAGAATAATCTGCTGTAATTCAAGGATCCTTCTCTCTTCTAGAGGTGAACATTGCACAGTAAAGAATAAGAGGTTAGGCTTCACAAATAGTTTTTCATTATATACGTCTACACATGTAACAACATTTTCTGTTGCAAGTTTAACGTACCTCCTGGTGAGAAGAGAAGGCAGCCCTGTGACATTTTCCTCAGGCCATGAGTACTCCATGGAAGGACAGCTTGATTTCAAATATGCTATGGCATTTAAATCACTTTTTATATTCCAGGCTTTAAGTTAGGAAGTCAGGAAGGTGGATCATTAGGTAGGCTGCTCCAATACTGCCCTGAGGATTTTATTAAAAAGTACATAGTGGGATTTGTGAGCTTCATGGAGCTTATTTTTTATTGGTTCTCATTTGTTAGATAATGTAACTAGTATTAAACACTATTTAAATATAGTCCTGGAAATACTGCTTCACATACAGACTAGATCAGGAATTTCTGCTGAGAAATCATACATAATGATTTCTCTGCAGAGAAATCATTATTAAACAAACAGGCTCTTTTACTATAAAAGGGAAGGCTTAAGTCAATGAATAAATGCCAAATTACAGACCACACCACCAAGCTATAGTGCAAGAGACAGGCCTCATAGGACACATTTCACATCTATTCCAACACCAGTATTGCCTTAATCTCCTTTCATAGAAGACTTAAAAATATAGAGAACCTTATACAAGAGGGGGTATTAAAGCCTCTTCATCTAACAGGAAACAGTCAAACTTCCCACAAAGAAGCAAGAACAGCAGACACTGTCCAAAGCATTCAGATTTTAGTTTTAAAGGTAAGACTAGCATTTCATATTGTGCTCAAGCACTTCGTTACCTTCTGGAATAAGCCATTTTCACAGTATCTAGGTGACAGGAGAATACATCAGTCAAGAGTCTGGAATTGAGAGGACTAGGAAGTTTACTACCTAAGCGCTAAAACTAAAACCAAAACAATACTCACATGTATCAGTTACAGATATATAAATATATATGTGTGTACGTATATATATATATATAACACCTCAGTTTTTCAATTAATCTCCATTTTTTATATATCAAATTGTATACTGTATTGACTTAATAGAAACAAAACAAAAAACCCAGAATCCACAAGCAAGCTTGTGAAGTCCGCTGGTGACAAGAATTAGTCACCAGAAGTTAATCCTTTTGTCCCAGGTCATTCCTATACATGAGTGACTATTCTTCCAATATCACCAGTATGCCTGTTTGGCAGGGTTCAATAGCTATTTTTTAACTTGTCCCTTTTCACATTCTCTGTGTCACACAAGTTTCTGAGATGAGACACCCAGTCACATCATGTATTTGTGTTAGAGCTGCATTTCACTTCAACTCTGGCAGCACTAGGCCCTTCAAGTCAGTAAGTACTGTCTGGCCTGCCTCTTCACCGAAATTTGATTGCAGTCTTCCCAATTAAGTTAAGCTCTGGACACTACAGACTGTATATATGATGCACAACCAGAATTTTGGCAACAATATGCTGTCAGCTAGCCATAGTAGTATTAGCAATCATCTGCCTTTAAAGAGTACTTTCATCAGTGTAACCAGTTTTTATACTGCAAATTAAGACATGAAGCAGTATCCATGCATTAATTTTAGCAATATGCTAAAAGTTATTTAAAACAGAATTGTGAATAAATTATTGGCTCAATATTAAGACACATCAAGCATTCTCCCCAGTGGCTGAAGTAGCACTTGAAGCATTTGCAGTGTTCCTCTAAGAACAACACTACGCAAAAAGAAAAGTGAAATGTTAGCTAAAGGTTTTGAGGGGGTTTTGGTGCCTTTGGGGTTTTGTTTGGTTGATTTGGGTTTGTGTTTTTTGGCATTTTTTGTTTGGTTTTATTTTTAATTATTTTATTTAGTTAATTAATTCTCTCAAAGGTAAATAGTTTTATATTCTGAAGCAGTTACATTAATAAATATGTACACGTGGAACCTTATTTATTGAGTTCACTGCAAACTTAATTCCCCTGATATCAGGACACTTAACTTGCGTAATGGTAAACAATTGTGTAAACTTTAAGTGAAACAAAGTGTTCATTCTTTTCTTGTCCATCTTTTGCAGACACTGGAAAGACGCATAGCCATGTATCTTGCTTATCTCATGAATGGGAAAAAATACTGGAACATGTAATGCTAAATGGCAGGGATAAAGTCTTCTTTCCTTTCTTCTCTTAAGCCTTTCCTTGATAATCAGTCCCAAAAGGAACTATAATTACATCAGCAGCCAACTATGATGCAGGATGGCACAGAGACATACACAGTCCTAGAACATTTCTTATCAGATGGCAAAGGTGAAACACTAGACTAGAATTCAGGAAATCCGTTAGGATTTGTCTGTCAGCCTGATACACTGTTGTGCATATCATGCCTCATCCCTCAGCTTCCCATCTGTAAAATGAGATGGAACTTTCCTTCTCCCATTATTGAGATTGCTTCTAATGTATTACATTTACCAGGCTTCCTGTCAACTGAACTTTTAAGTTCTATTAAAACAGAAAGCAAATAAATCAGGACATGAATCCTAATTAATTTGATTCTATCAGTCAAAGCAACAATTTTATAACAGACACTGACTTTAGCTGGAGTTTGACTTGTGTAGCTCATACTGCTTGTACTGGTAAAAAAATCACAGCAGTTGCTTACACGGAAAATGAGCACAGAAAGAATTAATGCACAGCAGCAGTGAGATGTTAAACACATTTGACCCAGATCAGAAGAATGAGGCAACTCATCCCTGAAAACATTTTATAGATCCATAAAAGAAATACAGTGAAGGGGGAAAGTTCAGAAGTTTACTGAACTGAAATATTTTTTGATTGCTTTCAGCTTGCAGCAGTGACCTCATTACAACTCTGGCACCTCTGACTTCACTGACACTAACCCTCAAATCATCCGTGGCACACGTAGTCTGTCTGAGTCAGTTAAATGTTGTACAATAAGCAGGACTCTCACTGGCCATCACTGTACAATGAGCATGTTGTCATGTGGGGAAGCACTTCCTCTTTCATACCTAATTGCACATACCTAAATGTGCCACTTAAACACTATTTCATAAGACAGAGCCAATTGTAAAATAAAGTCACTTTGTGGCACTAAAATTGCTTTAGAGACTTGTTCTCTTTCAGTGAGCTCAGCTCCTACTGTCAGTAAAAAAGATGCTAAAACACTCAACAGAGCACCTATCTTCCTCACCTCTGTTCCTCTACAATGAGGACTGATTGTTACCATGTAGTTTTCTTTAGAAGTCACCATCTTCAAAATTTCTGCCTTAAATTACAAGTGCTTTCTGAATTTATTACACTCGCTTTCACATCAGCTCATCTGTGACTCTGCAATGAATATATGAAGACACCTTGGTAACAGTGATTTTAACTTACATTAAACACAGCTAGCTAAATAGACAAAGGATGGAGTCTAAATCGAGACTAAAAATAACGTGTCTGAAACTGAAAGGTTCCCTGACAACTACACATTTGCGTAAGTAGCCACAAAAAAGCCTCACCCTTCTAAAGCAAAATGAGATGTTTGCTTCCTAGTACAAAAGACTAACATGGCCGTAAGTTCTTACGTATGTCAACACGAAAACCACAAAAGCACAGCTGAACCAGTGTGTCTTCACTAGCAAGCACCGTAAGATTAGTCCAAAGTTTCAGTGGTAAGGATAGGATATCATTTTGTATGAAATTTTACAAAAGTAGAGTGGCCCCATCTATCTGCAGATGCCCAACTAGGTTTATAGGGGGATGGAATTTTATGAAGGTTACTAGACAGAGCTAAAAAACCTGTTCATTTTCAAGTACACAAACCCTCCTCAAAATCACATACATAACAGGATGTACAAAGACTTTATGTATTTTAAAAAGGGCAACATAATGATTGAGGAACAGCATTCAGTCAGGTACTTAAAGACACAACCAGCATCTCCTGTGTTTCAAAGTAAATAACCATGAGTCTGTAGCCTGATGAGGAGGTTCCACTCCCCTCTTCCTGGCCGATTTCTGTGTTTGGGGTTTTGTTTGCTTGTTTGTTTTATCTTTACATAGAGACATAATATTTGGAACACAAAGGCAGAAGGAAAGAACTTGTGAATGTCTCCAACACCGAACTGATAAATGGATAGGTTAAATGGCAGCATGACTGAACCCTAAAGCCATGCTACTATGGTATGAGAGAGAGGAGCACAAT